CAGACAAATGCGAAGAATAAATAACTCAGCGCCACAGGTTGGAAAAAAATGGCTACTTTCAAAACTTAAATTCTCCAATGCGAAGAATAACTCAGATCAGCGGAAGCAAAAGCTAAAAAAAAGCCAGAAAAAAAAAAAGAACAAGTACTTTTCAAAGGCTGAAAAAAAAAAACTTTCAAAAACTTTAAATTCTCCACCGCGACGAATAACTCAACTCAGCGCAAAAGTTAAAGGAAACTTTCAAAACTTAAATTCTCCAACCAAATGCGAAGAATTAACTCAGCGCCAAACCAAAGCTAAAAAAGCCAAGTACTTTCAAAACTCAAATTCTCCCAGCAATACGAAGAATAACTCCGATCAGCACAAAAGCTAAAAAAAACTAAAACTCAAATTCTCCCAGCAATACGAAGAATAACTCCGATCAGCACAAAAGCTAAAAAAAACTAAGTACTTTCAAAACTTCAGTCCTCCAAGCAATGCGAGGAAAGACTCCAGATGATGAGTCGGTGCGACCCCATTTGCTTGGAAGAATAACTCAGCGCCAAAGCTGGCGCTGAAACGGTGCGACCCCATTTGTTGGAAGAATAACTCAGCGCCAAAGCTGGCGCTGAAAAAAAAAACTAAGTACTTTCGAAACTTAGATTCTCCAACGCGAAGAATAACTCAGCGCAAAAGCGCAAAAGCTCAAAAGCTCAAAAGCTCAAAAGCTTAAAAAATAAACGAACTACTTTCAAAACTTCCATTCTCCGATGCGACTCCAAGGGCATTGATTGTGTCTGTGTGAGCCGCGATGGGACTCGTGAGATGAGTCGTTGTCGGTGCCAATCGTGCTGAGTCGGTGGTGCTCCCCCCTCCCCCCCCCCAACCCCGGGACTCCCCGGCGCACTACTGCAGCACTTGTCCTCTCATAGACACCGACAACCACCGTCTTCGCCCAAATGCAACGCACCCTCCTCCTTATACCCTTAGTGTAACAGATCTGAAGGCTAATCAGCTTCTATACATTCATGATGATAGTGTGCGTTTTATTCTGACCGTCCATTACGATCGCTGAGGAAAGAGCAATCGCACCAACGGGCTTAGCTCAGTTGGCAAACCCATAAACTGTTGAAATCCAGACCACATTATAGAAAAGAAAAAGAATCCTGGTAAGTACAACTTTACCCTTATTTTTCTCCGTTTCCCGACGAAATTTTGCTTTTTCAGGAAATCTGTAACTACCCATCATTCTACTTCAGAGAATGGGGGGAAGGGGAAGGGGTTCTTATACACATCTAGATGTGTATAAGAGACAGGATGCA